AAAGGGTTAGCGCATGATGGATGCAGTGGGATGTATGGCCAATGGCTAAATGAGTTGCGTAGTAATTAGACAGTAGAAACATAACCGACTTAACCCGGCAAGAACCCCAGTAGGCTCTTTTAAGGAGAGGCCTTGCTTTAAGTATTTGCTATATGGGAGGGCAGTGACATGGCCTGACGGTAGCGTTTACCACGTAGTCCAGGCCTTCACGGTTCGAATCCATTGGCTTGGCCTGGTTATTACTAGTGGACATCTGCGAAACAATAAAAAAATCTTATTTTACGAATCTGAAACTTTTTTGGTATTTTACCAGGTAAAGCCCCACTGAGCTACGTAGCCCATTTTCAGAAGCGACCTGGCCACAAAAGGTAGCTCAACAAAGGTGGCTTATCACGTGGAAATGTATAGCAGTCAAATACTCACAACGCCCGTTTCTAAATGTGGAGGGGAAAACCGGAAGACCTAGAGAAAAATCCACGTGACCACTGAGAGAACATGCAGACTCCAAATATACAGGCATCAGGGTCGGGATTAAACTCACAACCTCTTGTATACCAGGCGAGGTAGTTAACATTTCAGCACCGTGGGCGCCAATTATGCCCAAACTACTGGACATCTGTGAAAAAGAGCTTTATAGCTCATCTAATTCCAACCAGTAATAAATAAATATGGTGATTCTGAGGCTTATTAACCTTGAGAAATATGCGCCGCCTGCCTCACAGTGGGCGTTAAAGATCCCCTTGACGTCATCGGGTGCCGGTGTTATGGTCCAAATTTGCTAAATTATAAAAATTACCTACAAATTACTAATTTGGGATTCCCCATAGCAGCATCGCCAACTACTCTGAAACTCCTGAAGGCTATTTCTGTGGTGTTACTACTATTGTGCGATAGGAACGGCGGAAATACCAAACGTACAAAACAATGACTGTTCATGTATATCTGCATGTCGGTTATAGAGTGTGGCGTGCAGAGAGTAGAGTGAGATGGAGAGGAGATAATGTGTGTGAATGATAATAAGGCTGTGTGTGTACCTGTGTGTGAGTGTGTGGGGAGCGGTGGTGCAGCCGTTAGCGCGCTGTGCTACGAACCCGGCGAACCGAGTTCGATTCCCGCTCACGGCCAACACCAGTGACGATTATCTGAACTATTCACGGGCCTCCCCTAGGTCGACCCAGCCTCAAATGAGTACCTGTGTAAACATCGCAACTGGGGAGACAAAGGCGGTCGGGCGTGGTGTTGTTAAGGCTATACTGGGGGATTTTTGTCTTTGTATGACCATTGATGTGTGACCCACACAGCCTGGTACAAGAGGACTCGCGTCGCGAATGTTGTGGCGGACGTGACTGGGTTTGAGAGGCACCTCGATTCATACTTATGAAGTGGCCCCAGTAAAGATGATGGAACGTCGGCGTGTTTATAGAGAAGCCACGCAATTTGCTACGTGTGTACCCTCAGCAACTTCAGCCATTCCCACCCTTGGACAAGCGCCGTCTCTTCCCCGTTCTGTGCAGTAAACCTTCTGCTTTCACCCAGCATCACGCAGTCTATGACAACTGGTGGGGGTCACCACACAACTTCATGGGTGGGACTGGGAATAACAGGTGTTGTAGACTTAAGCGACGAGATGGCCAGGAGATGGCAGCACAGCAATTGATAATTGAGTGTTACCACTTCCCAGCAGTTATCCAAATGCACTATGAAACCGGGGCGACCTGAGTTTGATTCCCGTGCCACGGCTGACATCAGTTGGGACCGATGTCTGTACAAATCCAGGATTCCAAAGTGGTCAAACAAACTCCCTTGTGGCTGAGACAATCGCGCAGCAGATAAATTACAAAAATATATCAATTGTATCTTTGGAGGTCCACCCCAACGTAGCCGTAAACGTGAAATGTTGGGCCAAGGTTGGTCCAACAGTTCCAACCATATATGCCAACGTCTGCATGTTTGTTGGAATGTCAAATGTTCATGGAATTGTCCAAACGTCAGAAGAAAAATGCTCCCGAAAATTTGTCTTGAGGCTCACCGAGGACTTTTCCTTGAGATGTCAATGAGGAAGCACTATTTATAAATATCGTATCGTATTATGACCGGAGTATTCGCGTAAGGAAAGTGTTCTCAAATCGTAATTTGACCCTGAACTGTGTGATTATAAGACGCTCAAGGAAAGTTAAACGTTACCCCAAACTTGTGTCAAAATAAAGTTATAATTTTGTAATATGTCACACAAACACAGCTCCCGAATTATAAAAACTCACCCGCCAACGGCCACGGGTACAAAGTGCGTCTAATAATCCGGAAAAGATTGCATATTTATGGAAGCCAGTGTATGTGGTGTGTATGAGAAAGATGTGCCAGTATGTGTGTGTGTGTGAATGGGATGGATGGAATGAAGAGGGTGTGTGTATGTACGCGTGTGTGTGTGTGAGAGAGAGAGAGAGGCAGGGCTGTGTACGAGAGAGGGAGATGGTGTGTGTGTGTATGTCAGAGAAAAGAGGGGCAGGGCTTGTGTGTATGTCAGTGAGGGGTAGGGCGGTGAGTGGGTTGCGGGGGGGGGGGTTGCAACGTGCGTGTGTGTCAGAGGGAGCGGGAGGTCGGGCTGGGCTGTGTGTGGGGTGGGGGAACAGGCAACCTCCCGGCAGGAGGGTGGGGAGGGCCCAGACAGCCTGGCGCCAGCCTGCACCTGTGAAGGCTTACACTGCACGCCTGATTAAACCCAGGTGTTCAGAGCCAGGGCAGGCAGGGGGTGCGTGGCGAGGGAGGAGGGCTGGGGAGGATGTGTGGGGCGGGGGGTTGAGAGGGGGTGATGGGGGGGGCCTTGGGGGAGAGGGAAGAGAGCAAGTGGCTCATAGAATGACGCCTCCCCGGTGCATCCTGTGCTAAAGGGGTTACAGGTTCAAGTCCGGGACAGAGTGCTTCGACTGCGGACTCCGCGAGACCACAATTATTGCTGACCGTAGGAATTTCATAAACGCAGCATTCAAAATAACTGTGTTCGTTTAAAAGGGGGAAAAAAAATTACACGTACACGTGGCCCGCTGACGTTATTTTCCAGTGGCGTGTTGTCACACATAATCCTGGCCACTGGCTCTGTGCTATTGGACTCATCAGTCAACCAGTCAGTCGCATGATTGCCAATATATATGCGGAATATATTTGATAAGAAGTGGCTCAATGGCAATTATATGCCTAGGGGATTGATCATAGCTAATGATTATGATGATATGACAGCGGCCCGAACTGTATTACCCTCAGGCAGTTTGGCACAATGGCAGTGTATTTCAAAACAATATACTGAACTGTGCATTGATCGTATTCGCAGTGACGCTAAATGCACTCACATTTTGGACATTGCTAATCTGTTCGTGGTCCTGAACCGGTGGTTCAAATTCCACATTCCTATCTTAGGGCAGGGACAATTGGAATTGATTGTCTCTTGACTAACACTAAGTGGAGCAAATGTGCCAGGCGGAGCTCATTCGACTACCGTAGGTGTTTTTTGATGATCGACGATAATTATAATACCATGCAATGTATGCTGATAATGATACATGTTGGTATATATCATTAAGGTGTAACGATGCATCGATTCATGATTGAGCATTATGCGTGACAATTGATGTTGAAATGAATTCCCGTAACATCTCGTGGACACGATATCCCACATTTACCCAGTGGTTTAAAAAACAGTTAATGTTTAAATCGTATAGCGTGACAATTAATTGCATCTGGACATCTGTGAAATCTCTGAAAAATAACGTGACAGCTCATCGGATTCCACCAGCATAAATATTCTGATTGTGAATCGTTCGTGTGGGGAAGCGAATTGTCACACAGCTAACGATGGTGATGAAGCCACGCGTGTTTGTATGTGTGACGATTAATGGAAGATGACGACGATGGTGATGATAAACAACGCACGGATGGAGCGGTGTCAAATATTTCCCACTGACGGTTAAAACAGAGACCCTGCTTGGATATTGAGCATGCGTTCATGTGACGGTATTCTGTAAAGAGCTCACGGCCTATTGTATGTACAATAAAAAAAACACACCCAACCCCACCAGAGCGTGCCTCATTGAAATGAGCGTGCAGGGGGAAAGATCAGGAGCTCTCCAGGAGTGAGCTTAGAATAGATGCTCACACACACACAGAGCACACTACTCACACGCGTTTACGTTCAACCTTTGTTTGGAAACGCAAGCTAAGTCTCGACTGATTAAACACTTCCGATGGAGCAACGCGCACACAAAAACCAGCGTGGGTTTTCCATTCTAACGTCCACGGGTGTAGTTTTTTCTCGACTGATTGGAGGCCCTATTAATTTAACCACGTGCCCCCCCCCCCCCATTGAGCCCGTGTGCTGTGTATTTGCAAGACGAGCCTGCATTATGCGTCTTTTATTTAGCCAGGTGAGAGCCCATTGATATGCAATCTCTTAAACAAGGGTGGCCTCAGCTTTGCAAGCACAAACTCCCACGACTGCCACCTGGGAATTTTTAAAGCCCCGTTTGTCAAAGGACCCAGTGGCATAATCATGCATGACTTAGCCACTGTGTACAAGTGTCAATGGCAACATCACCACCCAACTTGCAAGCTGTACAAATAAAAAGGTTCCCACATAAGCCACAGTTACCCTGGCATTGCTCCCGCAAGAGATAGTCTCTCAAAAGGCAGCACCCACCTGGTTAAATAATGGAACACGGGCGTTATGTATTCACTGCCATAGTGGCAACCAACAGTACTACCCAAACACTTAAGCCGCTAGGCAACTATACGCCCAACTTGACGCCGCTGTTCAATAGAAATGCAGCGAGGGTGAAGTGGAAAGTGTAGCTCAAAAGTGCACGGTTGCTTCCCGGAAAACCCAGTGTTGTGTATGAAACGTGTGGTGGCTTAGTCGGGGTCAGTCTCGCCAGACGACGGAACGAAAATGTGTCAGGGCAGATATTAAGCCATGGTGTCACGCACGGTGCAGACAACAACGCAAACAGGGCTTTAGGAAAAAATGGTACATTTTAATATAAAATATTTTTCAACAAGGCGTGCCATATACATAAAAGGTATAGGCGAAGTGTTAAAACAATTTTTTTCCAACAAGGCGTGTTTTGCCAAAGCAACATTATACACGGTTCATCATCATGGTCAGTAATGATTTATACACGTCGCCTGATACAGGATACGATAATCAAAGTGTTGCATCAAAAGGTAAAAAAAACGTGTCAAGAGAGAACAGAAATAACAAATTTACAAGCGAACTTGCGTGCAGCCAAGTTCGGAACATTTTTTGTACTTTTCTGCTTACAAAATTTTACTCTGTACAACCCCCCCCCCGCCCCGTTTTTTCACAGCCTCGGCCACTCTCGCAGAAATTGACCCAAACACGCACGCACTTTGCATTGCCATTGGTCTAACAAAAAATATAAACTTTATATATTATATACATATTACACACACAAGCAGCCACAGTTGTTAACGCAAACTGCCAGCAATCTTTTTTTTTACAAAACAGTGCTCGATTGCAGCCGTACCCACACCTCTTAAAACAGGTGTTGAACCAATCTCAAGCTGCCACAGTGGTGGTGGTGGTAAGAGGGGCTCAGGCCTTTTGAGCCGCAAACAAGCACTGTTAAGACATTGGTCCACAAAATACCCTAACAGTTGTGCAACACTGCCTTGTCGAGTGTACGTGCGTACGTACGGCAACTAACTTCCTCTCCCCGTCAGTAAAGTGTCTCTCAGTACTGCACTTGCAGCAATCGCCAAACCTACCCAACTTTTAACAGCAAACGAAACCATTATTCCCCAACTCCCAATTGCTCCCGTTTACATTTTCACCAGGTTCAGAGGCGCGCAAATGCGTTTAATGCACTGGTTTGCATTTAAACGGCGAGTGGCGAAAATGTTGGAAGTGTGCATCATTATCATGCATATGCCAGCAGGCCCTGGGGCCGGGGTCGAGAGTTTGGGGAAAATGCTGCATCACTGAAAATTGTTTTTTTTCCCCCCTCTTTTCGGAAATTGTGAAAATGTATTAAAGTCCAAGCAGTTGTATTTTACAAAACACCAACAACAACTTGGCAAATCGACAAAATTAGGTTTTTAAACGCTAAGGAATAAAAAAAAAACTAGACATTGTTTGTTTGTTGTTTAAATGACTTGCTAAAAAATATAAAGCTGTGTGTAAAAAAAAAAAATACAAGCTCAGGAATGACTGGATCCGTTGGGTTTCGAAACATTCGTCTGCTTCCGCACGCCGCGTGCTTGTGTGGTGGCGTGGCTCTTCTTGGGGACACACGACGGGGAGTTCCAACTTCCTTCTTTCTCCCAAGTCGGCGCACGCCCCGCTCGTTCCAAGGGACGAGAGAAGGAATGCTGTGTGGAGAGAGAGGCGCACACCACACAAGAGTGACGCGGTTAGAAGCGGCTCATTATCCTGGGTTAAGAGGTGCTGTGTGTGTGTGTGGGAAGGAGGGAGGGGGACCGGGTGGCCTTGCCAGGCGGGGAGCAGACAGCCTGGCGCCTGTCAGGAAACAACTGTGGACATTCCCCCACAGAAGACGCCTCCCCCTACTACAGCCCCTGGATGCACACAGCTGCAGCCTCCCTCCCCCTCCCAACACACACATCGAATCCCTCCCACCCTTGAAACACACACACACACAACCCACATCTTCCCTCCCCCTGCACACACCCAACCCACCCGCCCACATCCACCCCTCTCAGCATTCAAAACAGCCAACAGGCAGCCAGCTCATGCTCTGGGTATTGCACAAGTAACTCATTTTGTTTTTGCTTCGCAACCAGTGAAAAGGAGAGCAGAAATCGCAAAACACTGCGTGCCCCCTCCCCTCCTACCACCCCATCATGTGATTTTAAATGGCAGAGGCCCACTCTTTTAGGATTTTGGTGATGCTGTTTTTGTGTTTTCAGCACCCACCGCCCCATTGCCAATGAACGCTGGATCCAAATGGTTTGAGTTATAGATGCAGACTGAACTTGCTTATAAACAAAACTGGATTAAAAATTGATTAAACTGTCATGCGCTTACCGAAGTCTCGCGAATCTCAGCAGCAGAGAGTCTCGTTGTTTCCGGTCAAACTTGCCATGTCTGTGCACACCTGCAAACAGAAACGTCGGAAAAAACATCGTCAATTACATATCGCCACAGCTTTTAAAGTTAGCTGTCGGTTCTCGTATCCACCGTACCACTACCCCGTTTATTTGTCATCACCACCATAGATCACTCAAATCCTGTGTCACTTTGACCCGTAAACATTATTGCTGTTTAAAATACCAAGGTGTGAACATTCTCTAGTTGGCGTGCGTGCGTGGGTGGGGGGGGGGCTTTTAAAAATAACCCCCGGAATGAGAATGTGTGGCCAAAACAGAATCGTAATCATGGACGAGTTATAGTCCAACTCTTGCCCTGCATCTCGCCGACTAGCTACGTACACATGGCTCATCCTATAAAGTCGATCTCTTCCAGAGCTACGTGACCGCCTAAAGTGGCAATTTCAGCGGCCCCAGGTGTTTGCTAACCCAGGTGTAGTGGGAAAATTCGGCGTTTTATCATTGAACCTCGTAGTACACTCATGACCAAAATGTCTCTTCTTCACCATGGTGGTGGCATTAGGATTTATTGGCCTCCTTTAGGAAGTTAACGACCAATAGATGTGTTGAGTATACGAACACTCGAAATGGCTTTCTTCCAAGCAGTGTTAAGTGTCGAGACAATCTCTCCCAGTGCTCAATACGTAAATTCCACGTGGAGACATCCTCCTGGTCTGCCACACTTTGACAGAGTCATCGTGCTCACCAGAGCGACACGTACCCCGTAAAAGCCCGTCACATACTCCACTCCCACCACCTACCCTCACGGACCCCTGCGCGCCTGTGACCCCACCGCCACCCTCACACAAGCCAGCCCACACTCTGCCCCCATCACCTGGGCTCATCTCCGGCCACAGCCACCGTGCCCCGTTGCCTACCTGCGCATCGCCGGGCGCTCCCTCCTCCACGGGGCCCTCGTCGAGCGCCACCTGGAGGTCCAGGATGTAGTCGATCACGTGCTGCAGGATCTCCATGCGACTCGCCTTGCGCCCCGTGGTCGCCAGCGTGGGCACCAGCTGGCTGAGCCGGCTGTAGCAGCCCTTCATGTCGTACAGCAGTCGCTCCTCGGCCAGCCGGTGAACGGCGGCGGCGGCTTCGGCCGACTGACGGTGCACGGAGCGGACGGGACTCACGGCCTTCATGGCTGTAATGTTAACAAGAGGTGGCTGTCGGTGGTTGCTGGTGGGTTGTTGTTGTCGGGTTCAACGAATGACAACACCAAAAAAACACGTGCGGCGTACAGGGGGGGACGACCTCGTGCTGCTATCTCGCTCGGCGCGGTCAAGCGACAGGTGACGATGCCTCGCGGTGCCCCCGCGCGCGCTCTCCTTGTACTCGAGCTCGCGGTCCCCGCTGTCCAATGGGAGAGCGCGAGCCGCGCAGAGGGCGGGGCCACGGCGCGAGAGCGCGGCTCTGATTGGCTGAGCGACCCCGCACGGGGTGGGTGGGGGGTTTGGTGGAATGTCCCACTGGGGGTTGCCGAGGGGGGGGGGGGTTTCTGTCATTGTGAGTGTGTGTGTAAAGGGTGTGTGTAAGGGGTCGTGTGTGTGTGTGTAAGGGGTGCGTGTGTGTGTGTGTGGGGGGTGACGGAATGCACTGGAGCGAATACCAGCGCGTATTGTCGCTTCCCAGTGAATGATGTCGCCTCCAGCAAATACCCACACACGCACACCTACAATTACATTACATACACCGCTTCACTACTCTATACATATGCATTACACACGGCGGTATACGCAGTGCACATGCATTCATTACCACACGCTACGTACGTGCAATAGACACCCGCATCACAACATATGCACGCGTGAATGTATAACACACCGACATCACATACAATATACAACGACCGTTCACCACTAAGTGGCAGTGACGTCCCAACGGCGTTTGTGCCAGGTTAGGTGCATCTAAATTCTGATTCTATACACGTGCATTAGACATTGTGTGTATACACACATTAATTTCGCACGTATCTGCATCATCACATACACTGCTGTTTATGCATTGCTCTGGGCACCGATGTGACATTTTGTATCGAAAATATTGTGTTCACATTTTATTTTCAAATTGAACATATAATATACAGTACCTGACATATACAATGAACTTGGGCGTACATCTTTAGGGGTAAACCCCCAACAAGCCAACATTTCATTGGTGATGTTATTAATTTAACGTTCAATATGAGACAGCATCCTGCACCATGTCAATGTTTCGAGTTACACATACAGCATGGCAGTTTAGTAAATTATGTTTTTAGGCTTATTTTTAATTTGTCATTAATTTGAAATATATTTTTATTTTTTCTGCTAAAATGACAATTCATTTTGGCACTTTGTCTGAAAACATTTATTTGTTTTTGTTTATTTGTATCAACACCAGTACACGGCAGTCACTGGAGAATTTAACATGCCACGGTTGGCTACGTACGGTTCCAAAGAAGTTATACATACATGACACATCTATAGTTTTAATTTAAATAGTCTACATTTGGTTATATTCTTTAATATATAAAGAGGACTGAAAATAGTTTTATCATCATTAATCGTCTATCCATTGCTGAATAAAGGCCCTTACCATCCAGCTCGACTACCATTCATCTCATCTATTCATCTCCGAGGTGGTCGACTATTGGACAACGTTCATCATTTAGCTGCCATTCTGTCGATCTTGTCCACAAACCATTTTACCCCCATCAAGCCTACAAATTAAAAGCTCATTTGTGCACTCAGATTAGGTTTAATATTTTATTTGTAGAAAGCATGTCCATTTACAGCACTTTGTATTTGTAAAAAAAGATCGACCCAACGTTTCCAGTCAAATATTTCCACACACACACGCACGCACAAGAGGCGCACACACAGTTACCTATATTTTAACACACAACGAACATTCAACACATTTTCACAAACACGCTCGGTCAACCGTAGTGTGGGTATTATACTCGTGGCTAAGACACCACGCAATGTCCCCTATTCTTCTCGCTTATTATGAGGTGTAGTTTTGTTCACCTTTTGCTTCATCTGGCTTTTGGGATTCTTACAGTGGTAGCTGTGTTTGGCTCTGGGAGGGGCGTGCAGGTGCCTCTCTCTCTCTCTCCCAAGCCCCATTTATCGGTGCAGCTGTGTTTGTCTTGGGACCAAGACAAACGCGCAAAGGGGGCCCCCTATGCACTCAGCAACCACCACCACCAAACCTCATCCATACGCAACACAATATAATATTATGCACACACTCATAACACAGAGGCAGGTGAGAGTGTTGTGAGAACGAGATGTCTCCTAACGCCAAAGCTCCGTTTTCCAGCATCTGTATGTAAATAAGCCTGTCCCCAGATTTGCCCTTGCTCAAAGGCGCAGCCCTACAATGAATATATGCTGGAGGAAGAGCCTTCGCTACTGAGAGCTCGAGAGAATATTGGTTTGAGAGTGTTTTTGGTCTACTCTTCCACGCTGTGCCAGACGTCTTTGACGTGGTGGGAGTACCCACACTTTACCTCACCCCCACGCAAGCCTTCTGCTGGGACGAACTTTAGTCTACACATTTATTTCGACTGGTCGAACAAGAGTCGGTGTGATTGAATAAACTTCCCATTTGCTTCAACTGCCGCGCCTGGAGATTCAACTGGCATGACCTCTTAGATGTAAATTGACCTCTGGATAGAAATCCCAGTGAACTGACAATAACAGCACGGCAGCATCTCTTGTTAAAATGAATGGATTTGAAACGGGCCTGCATGGCCTCTCACCCTGTTATAGATTTGACGTGACCCTGTAGTTAGCTGCAGGCTCTCCAGATATTCATTGCCTTAGTGGATATCGTATCTAAGTGAGCAGCCTCCACGCAAATAACTGAGATATGAAAATGAATTTCATCCTGACAAGTGGAGACTAAGCTGACCCGCTTGGCTCAGCTACATGGACAGAAACCGCCCTGTTTTTTTATGTACGCATGCTGCGTGTGTGCATTGGCTGTTGAGGGTTTTTTTTCTATAAACAAACGAATGACTAAATTAAAATAACATACGCTAATTATATATAGAAAACGCGTGGCCATGTTGATGGAATGTCGTCACATTCCGATACAGGCAGCAGAAGAGAGGACCGTGTGGTTGGACAAAAAGGCCCCATCACGGATGGAATATATTTAACATCATCTATTGAGAAGAAAAATAAAGATTCCGTTAACTTTCGTGTCGGCATGAATACACCACAAGGCCGTTCTACTAAGTTAGCTAGCTTTGTGCGCCACTTCATAGCATTAGCCAAACACCCACATGCATTCAAATGAATGGGTCTTTACAGGAACTCCTTTCAATTCGATGGGGCCAAGAATTGGCATGACGCGCATCAACACACTGGCATTTTAAAGTACGTAAATAATGAAAACCGGTTTCATTCATTAATCGTTTCCGGTAACAGACCTATAAGTGTTGTCACTTGGAAGCGACGTTTAATATGGTGTGATGCTGTACACACAGATTTGATTTGGCAGAAAAAGAACATGCTATGTTATTTCCACAGACATTATTTACCTATAATATAGACAGTTCACCAGCAATGATTGATTCAAGCAAGCCTGACTCTGCTGATGATGAGACACCGTACTGTAATGTCGAAACCGGTCCAGAGTTTTGCTGATCCCCAGAATAATGTACAATAGGGCAATATCACCCATTGTTGCTCAATGATCCCTGCACATGTACACTACACATACTTATGCATCGTGTGCGTAATGCTATACATACACACACACCTATACATAGCGCATATATTATGCATAGTGTGTATACAATGTATTCCCATACATCTCAGAATACTGTAATGCGTGCATAATGAATTGGTTGGCTAAGACAGCCGCGTGCTATCGCATTGAGACTCCATGGGCCGCACGCCGCACATAGTCGCCCCGCCCCTCCATCTCCCCCCTCCCCCTCCAATCCCCCCGCCCCCCTCCGGTCCCCCCTCCATGCCCCCCCCCCCGCGATTGCCGCAGACTCCGTGGCGCCACCTCGTGACGTCACCGCCCCAGCTGGCGCCGCCGCGGCGGCTGCCGTGGCAACCGATCGACCAATGACAGGCGGCGGCAGTGGGAGGTTGCGGCGGGGGGGCGCGGCGGCCAATGGGAGGCGGCGGTGAATGCGCGCGCGCGGCTGATGAATGGGCGCACCTGTGGAGCCCCCCCCCCCACCATCACCGCCCCCCTCCCCTCACTCCCCCCCCTGCAACCCACCCACCAGGATGGGAGGCCGCCCTCGTCCCGAACACCGCACGAACACCGCACGAACACTAAACACCCAACAACAACAGCGGCGGCTCCCCTAGCCCCATCACAACCACCACCGCCTGACACAGATGTACACGCGACGGGGACGATGATGGTGGTGTGTGTGTGTGTACACTGCGTGGCTACTGCAAAGCAGCAGCCACGCAGCGTTACGCAGATGCGTAACCTCAACACGTGGATACTGTACGCATAGCTACGCATATAGTTCCTTCGCATACACACAGCTGCATACACATTGCTGCGTGCAAATCGCTTTGCAGTATATGCATTTACGCATTGCTACGTAATGTACACACAGCTACGTACACAGGATAACCTACGCATTGTTGAGTACGTGCACAGCTGCATTCACAACGATACACAAAACTGCATTATATATACACACACGTCACTAAACACAGACATAGTACACACGCAATGAACTACATATGCATAACTACACAGCCACGTGCACAAAGCTACAAATATATGCACGCATGGTGCTAAACACATTCACACAGCCCCCTTTGCACATAGCTATAAACAACGTAAGCCCCCGCATAAGCCAAATATATTCACACAACAACACAAGAACAGATAACCGGTCCTCCCAATGATGTACACACACACACATACAAGGACCCAGGCCTTGCCTTAAACCCAAAATGTGGGAAAATAATGTTTTTTTTGTTGTTGAAAGTCTTTGTAAAGCAAATTTTTGTTCTCAATTCCTTTTTAGCTTTTCAGAAGAGGCATGTGGGAGACTTTTGATTCCTTTATTGAGGAGGGGGGAAAAAAAGCCGGGTTTAAGGCAACAAAGGTCCTCATTGTACCTGAAAAGTAGTAGTTGGGAAGAGTCTATAGGAATTCAAACTTAACAGGCAACGAGGGAGTGTGGGAGGGAGTGTGGACAACACATCTGCTGATAACCCCACGGGCATCCACTAACATAATCACCATAGCAACATATATAATAATAAATATACCCAATTTCAATTACAACCAGTCACACGCATAAATGTAGTTCATTGTAATATTGGTAACAAGGACTTCTT